TTGATAAAAAAGTTTTACTGCACCTGTTGATCTTATACAACTGTCACAACTAGAACTAATAATTCATCTAAAAAACAATAACAGATAATCCATCATAAAATGAACTTAAAAAAATAATAGTGTAAACATTAAAGAGTCATGATCTCTTATATACTGCAAACAACTAGGTATTTTAGTAAAACAATTTTATAGTCTACAAATAGTTTTGTGTTTGTGCTGTACACACTTGAAAATTCCCCTATAGTTATTTCTGTATATATACCATTTTAAAATACTTAGATTTCAGACTTAACAAAAAAAAACAAAATAAGCACACAAACATTAAATACAGATACTACAAGATGAGCAGAAAGTAAAAAGAAATATTTGTTAAATTTAGATGTTAAAATCAAAATAGAAACTGTACATATGACCGAGAATATTCGCTAACATTATTATATTGTAATGTGTAATAAAAGCTATCACACTCGCAACAAGCTGAAAGTTAAAATTTAATGACTCATAGATATTAACAACCATAAAACAAAAAGTGATGTTATCAAAAATATGGGTCATCCAAGAACATTAAATAAACAACTTTCAGGAATCTAGCACAGAAAATAATAATTTCTTACAATGGTACATTGTATCAAACAAAACGTAATGATTATAAGCAAGAGGTTTTCAAGTAAAAAGGTTTTTCTAAAAAGAAAACAAATACTCAAATTAGGAAAAAATAAAAAAATTACATCAATTGAAGGTCAATAAAATCTATTATTTATTTTGTTGACATCTTATTAAAATAATAAATTTTAACCTGCCCAACAGTCAACATTCGTTACTTCAACATGGTGCCAACGATTTGTCTTTTGAATTACGAGTACAGTGTATAATACTGTTAATTTCACAATACTCATAAAGCATGAAGTTAGAGATACAGTAAGTACTGCAATATTAAGAACCATATCTGTTTGCAAACTATAATAATAAGTTAAGTCTTGGATTTAGATGCAACAAAAAAACATTTAAGTAAGCTTTAAAAAGTATAACATGCAATAAAAAGTTAATAATAATGACACAATATTAAGCCATACATACATAAAAAGGACACAAGATTTTATTTCATATTTAATTATTTTTTCATTATTTATTATTTTAACTTTTGATAGCAGTATAAACTAAATATTTTTAATACAAGTATATTTATGATTCACAACTTTTAAAGAAATTTTCTATGAAATTATAGTATATGTTATTTATGCACAGAATAAAAGCTTTCTATAGATGATAAAAAATTTGTTTTCTCTTCATACTTCTAACCACACCTGTCATAGTATTAACAATAAGCAGATGTGATCTCATCGTAAAGTAAATTGGCATTTAAGGCATGAGGAAGATTAGTACCCAGCAGTACCCCTTCCTTAGTCTACTTCATAATTTAGGAAATGAGATCTCTCATCCAGCTCCTCTTTAGTCATCTTCTGATAGGCATGTCAGCTGATGAGTCTGCTGTGATGTCCGTGTAGTTTAAGATGAAATCGAAAGTAGAGGGTACGTATGTGTTGGTTGATAGTCGGTTGTTGTAAGTCGGTATGTAAAGTTTTGTTTATACGTACCAAGGAGCTGCTGTTATCAGTCTTAAAATTTTGGATTGAAATGATTGTACTTTTTGTAAGTGCGTCTTTTTCTGTATGTATTTAGTTTTTGTCTGATTTTCAATTTTGATTAGGAAAAAAGGGAGTATAGTATTTTCAGTCATTTGTTCAAAGTCTTTCGTTTCATTTTGACATGTGGGCCCCAGGTCATCCTTCCGTCGAATAACAGCCCGAGATAAAGTACAGTGACAGACTGAGGAATTTGGTTGTCACCGACATAAACTGGTGGGCGTTCTTAAATTTGACAAAATGAATGGATAATTAATTTTATCTATAATTACTGAAGTTATGCTGTTTAATCATTTCATGAGGAGAGAGGATATTAAATATCATTAAAAAAAAGTTACATAATGTGATAGAAACAGGAAATCAGTTAATTGATTTTTAACACCCTCTTGGAAATTACCTGTCCGTAGTTATCACCTTTATTAAGCAATGCAACCCAATCATTTAGTTTTTATGACAAAAGAGACTTTGCTATTAGCATGATTCCAATTGTATCTAATAAAAATTCAAACTATTAAAAAAGTTCCTAGTTGATTTTCTTTTTTTTTTTTTTTTTGTTTTGGGACGATTCCCAATGCCCAAATTATCTACCAAATACCCGCTTTTGGGCATTTCCTTGAAGTACTTCTGTAGGAAGTTTTCATCCAAAATAGAATGATTCTCAGTACTTTAAAGATTACATTCATTATTAGACAACTTACAATTCCAAATCCAAACCATAAAACCAAAATAATTTAGAAAGAAAAGTAATTTTATAATTTAAAAAATAGTTACTAAAAACTGAAGATATGATTCATCATGTCACATATTAACTGACATAAAAATAATTTTTGTAATGAAAACATTTTAGACCATATAAAATAATACCAATAATAAAAGGCTTATTGAATCCAGAGGTTCGATGCCGACACCACCAATCGCTTATTACACACCTCCCTCCACCATTCGCCTTCCAAACCCAGTCCCTTCAGATCGGCTTTAAAGCAATCTTTCCACCTTCGCTACGGTCTACCTCTCAGACCTCAGACCATATAAAATATCCAATAAAAAATTTGTCAGATTTAGAACGATTAGTTCCATGATGGTATTAACTTATTTTTATGAAAAACTTTGCAAAAAAAAATACGGTTTGGGTTAAAATTCTAGACTTTAATAATAAATAACAATTAACCAATGCTTAACATTAACATGATATTGGATGAAAATATAAATATATTAGGCTATTCCTTTATATACCATAACAACCAAAATTCGCTGACAACAGCATCCGAGAAAATAATATCATTTCAGTTATCATTTATATTAAAAGTTTCAAATTGATGTTTAAATTGCTATAAACCTAAATTTTGACATTGATTGTTCATGCATTTAGTCACAGAATTCTTACTTTTTAGAACTCTAGACTTAATCGATTATGTTGACCAATTTATTGATGAATAATAGAAATCATCAATTCAGCTGACATAACAAAAATATATATATATATATATATGTATATATATATCAGAAACAATTAAAATTTCATTTAGTATTAAATTTAGTAATTATAATTTATTTGAAAAAAAATAAAACCTTGGATAAACAAACCTAACATTCATCATCATAATAATGTATTATTAGAAAATACATATTCTAGAAATATAATTACGAGAACATAAGCTTGAATGAGTAGAGTAACCAATCAAACAATGTATTGGACCAATTGGCCTACGTAAACATCATGATTAAAATAGATCCCACTGTTTATTCGTCGCTAACATCACTAGTGACGACAATCATCTAAGGCATATCCAATTATAAATAAAGTTAGCTAAATAATTGATGTAATATATCTTCAACTGTCATCAATTTGTCAGCCAATTATATTAAAAATATTAATGTTGTTTTTTGATATATTTATTAATTTTTTAAAAATATAGAAATTTATTTTTTTTAAATATAGAAATATATTTTTAAAATGTTCATTTAAACAATAATATTAAATAACATTAATAATTCATGAAATAAGTCTAATATAAAATGCAAATTAATCACTTGTACTCTCGACAGAAGATATCAACAGGTAAATGTAAAATAAGGGTACTGATAATTTATAATTTATTCGCATAGATTCCCGATACATTTTATCACAAGTTTTTTTAATTTTGAAGAGAGTGAGATTTAGTAGGGGTGATTAGTAAAAAAACAATGTAAAAATAAATAAGTATATTTATTTTTATTTTTGCCGATGATTGTTTTTTTTTATAGATATATAATATATAGCAACAATTTATTTGTTTGATGGATTAATGTCTATACAGTTCATAAAAAGCAAATATTTAATTTGAGAAATTTTGCTGTCAGAAACAGAAAATGGGTCAGTAGTCATGAGGTAGGTAGCAGTGTTAAATAATCATCACCTGCATGGTATTGCATGACTTAAATGCCAAACAATACACAATAGGCATGAAAATCAAGGATACAATTTTGAAATAGTATAGTGGAATGGCAATACAACCAAGTAAAAAGAAAATCAAGGAACAGTTTCCATCTTTCTATCTACAGCTAGAAAAATATTAACAAGAAAATAACTTTTATATATTGTGTTGATATATATGTATATAAATATATTTAATTAAATTAAAAAATTGAGGATTTAATAATTCAGTAAATAAATTTTTAAGTATTATACGGTCAACGATAAAATTATTAAATCCCAACTTTTACAAAAACTTAAACAGCCTGCATTCGACATAAAATCTGAATAAGTTATTATTCTTCAAGAAAATACAAAATATATTTCTCTCTCAGTTCTTTTGTTGCAATACAAATAAACTCTTCCACGTGCTAACAAATCTATGCCCCAATAAAATTTTATCATTTACTTTTTTAAAAAATACAACTGCTGAAAACGTTTTCTTCTTTTTTCTGTATTGAATAATAAATAGAAAATTTATTATAATTACAAGAAGATGCCACTGGAGAAAAACACTATTCTCCCTTCATATATTCAAATAATCTGCTAAACAGTTGAATTTGTAGGAATACTTAGAGTGTAGACAAAAATTAATAAAGAAATATGAATTAATTTTGTAATTTATTGAATACAGTTAATTTTGCTACCTAAACTACCTTTAAGAAAAAACTAAAATAATTAATATCAAATAAGTGGTGCCTGAGTTCAATCGCAATCATATTCTTATGGGCGAAACATAGTATCATACTTCTATTAAGCTTTGAGAAGTTTTGATGAATAAAAACTTGACCAAACTAAATTAAAAAATAAATATAATTACAAAACATGCTGAACAGTACAAGAATGCAGAACGCAATGAATCAATAAACAATAAAATCAATATAATTTATTGAATTTTAAATTACCTTATTGCTGCTGGAGTTCACTTTCAAGACACCATTCTTCAGTTTTGACAGCCCCTTGGACATGAGGTACTGGAATCATAGAAAATTGAAATTAGTAAAACATTGATTACAGTAAAATATTGAAATTGAAGAGATAAATATAATATAAAGAAAGATATGAGATCAAATGAAAACTAATTAAAGAAATCTGGGCAATGTTAAAAAACAATACACCTTACAGGAGAAGATTTTTTTTTGTTTAATCAGAAATAAAAAAAATTGGTAAGATACGACATGAATGACAACGGTCTAAACCAAAATCATTTTATTCCCTACAATATTAAAACTTGAGATAACTATTAATATATGTGCCCTATGTCTCATCAATAAAAAGTGAAGATCATGCCAAAACACAGGTGAGTCAGACAGTATGTGCTGGTCGCTATTTACAAACATGTGAATCGACAACAAATTCACTAACGACTAAATCATATTATTAATAATGACTGTATCAGATTCCTGAATGATTCAATATTTATATTAAAGTATTGTTTAAATCAGATGGATTTATAAAGGACTGTGAAAAAGTTCACACTATGACAATCTAAACACAACAATACTCTAAATCGGTTACTCATTTTCAGGGGATTGTAATATCAGTAGGTGGTAGCAATAAACTTATCTGATTAGATATATCAAGTAAAATCAGACAGAATAACTTGATCTCAATCATTCTGTTATTAATTTCAGTTAAAGTATGTAAAACAGAGAGTTAGCCTAAGATTATAGGGGATGTCACAGTTGAAAAACGAAAATTTTTAATAATATGGAAGCTCTTGGTTATCAGTTATGAGTTATCAACTACCAATCTTACCTGTTTTATTTCATTCCTGAGGTTGAATGCTGTGGAATATGATTGTGGCGGAAAGCCGGAGTTAGAATTGATGTCCATGGCTGAATACTGAACGTGATGGCGAAAAATTAACAGAAATAATTAATGTATAAGGGGAGAACTGATTGTATATAACCTATACACAACACCGCAGCAACACGACCTCCAGGCGTCGAGCACAGACTAACTCCAGATGGACTAATAGCTCAACCTGCTCGGTACACAATGCAATTTATTCCACTCTCTTCTCTAAGCCATTTAACATTTTTTAAAAGGGTATACCGCTAATTTTAACCTTATTTATTTCATTAAATGTCAAAATTAATATTTAAATAGTTAAATTTTGTCTAAAACCATCTCTATTCGAACAACTATATCCATGTTTACAATGCAATTTTTTGTAAAGGTATTTGAAAATTCTAGATAAGCGTGAATTAACGATTGAAATTTCCAACAGCTACATTTACATAAATATAAAATAAATTGTATAACTTTATTTACAGTTCAACTGACAATTTTAAACTAATATCACGATTTATTTTTTTTTACAACTTACAATTCACTCCTAAATACACATCCTGTAAACTCACTTATTTTTTTTTAACTTCTAAGTAAAATTAACCAAAATATAACAAGATTAATCAATTCATACAAATTTAAAGACATAATTTTTACATTAAAAAAAAATTACGCAATTTGAGTCTAATATATATTTTAATACACTATTATAAGGAAACAAGAAATTTAAAAAATCTCTGAAAATGTATCAAATTTAATTTCATGTTTGTTGATGATAAAATAAAATATTTTCGATACACCTTAATACCAATATTATCATCATAGATATAAAAGAGATACATCGATTGGTGTGAATGTATAACACTTTTAACTGTTTCTTTTGAAGTGTATAAGAAAAATATATACAACTAAAAATGTTCAACAAAATAATAAATAAATACAATTACGTGAGACGAGCCGCATTTTGATTCCTTAGCCAAACGGAGTCGCTTATGTATTCTTCCCATAATACTGTAGTAAAAAAGTATAGAAACAAATTAGTAATAACAGGTATAAAGTAATTATATAATTCACTACTTAATTCTTAATGCTTTTATCAGGAATTGAATAATAAATATAGTTTACTTGAAAACTGAATCTTAACGTTGTTATTGAATGATAGTACTGTTGAAGATGGTGCTGACAAAGTCTAATAGAAATTTTGTTACGTCGTCAGAAAGAATGCCTTTGGTGGAAAAAATGCAACATATTTTCATTTCAGGAACTATTTGAAACTCATTAATTCTAAAATATATTTCTTAAAATGAAGAAATATAAATCTTTGAAAATTTGTTAAAATCGCCTTATCGATAACTACACATCTACAAACATCAAATACATGTATAGTGAAGATAATCTAAACAAGAAAAATGAAATCGTTAGTTTACAGTCGGGCGGGCCAACGCGTATGCAAAACAAGCGTACCCGGCAACCTGATAAACTAAAGATCACGAGTTCGAGTCCTGGTGCCAGGGGCTTTTAACTGAGGCATTAATCCGCCGCCTTCTTCCCAGACTCGGGAAAATTCCCGAATAGCAGAAAAAGTGAGGTAAGAGAGAGAAAAAAAAACAAGTATAATAGTATACGATCTACAATTCTACACCATTCGTTTACTATTATAACTAATTGTAGTAATATCACATATTGAATTATAGTGATATATAATATATGTAGTAGCAGATAACACTGCCTTGAAATAAGAAATCAATATCAAAATTAGCAAATCAACAGTCATATGGAGGAAAAATTTCTATTAGATTTATACTCCAATAAATCACATTTTGTCCTTGATGGCCATTCTCAAACCTCTACATTAGCCATTCAATTCCATTTAACAAAAAATGAAACTATTAATATTAAAATATGTTTATGTTTGTAATTATATAATTTTCACAAATTATAGTAAAAAAAAAAATTAAATCAAAGATAAATTAGCAATATAGAATTTACAATCGAAGAAACATTTCAATCACATAATCATTACCAATACATAAATATTATATCATGAACTGCAAAACGACTCAAATAATAAGAATATGCTAATCATATTTTGGTATGGTATAGTTGGATAATTGCTAATACGTTTTATTTATTTTTGTGATTGAATAAAGCTCTAATATTATTTATTTATTGAAAAGTGTGAGGAATCTGACATTAATAAAGTCGAGTTATTATACTGTATAACTGAACTGCTGACATATCGTACGCAGCGTAGGCTTTGAGAGCATTGACGTCAACGCAGGCAGCACATTCCTCTCTACCGCTGCGATAGCCAGTCCCAACATTCAGAACACTATATGATTAAAAACATGCGGAATCCATTTAGGGCAATCTTATAAAAAAGTCATAGCAGATTTTAAAAATATAACGCAGTTACATTAAATTAAGTTAAAATATATTTTTAAATTATACAAAATATATTCTTTGAATTGGTCGGAGGATGCTGCCAATATACCTATATAATAGTATAAATTATAATGGTATTTTATTGAATTTGCTATAATTTATAGTATTGTTTATCGACTGCATTTCCGGACCAACTCCTATTCATATTATAATCAAGGTCAAACATCTTCAAACCATTATTAAATATATTCAATGAAAATGAGCGTAAAGTTCAAATTAGAACCACATACTCATATTGAGCGTATCACAAAAGCTCTTTGATCAAATCAACATTTGCTTTTGACAACATTTTGAAAAATTTGCCAACTGATTTTCTTCTAGAAATGATACATCACTGAAATCCAATCAAATTTTACCGCTACCCATTAATGGCCTTGCTAGGAATTGCCTAATCTTTCTGTACACTAATCCACCTGCACAAAACCGCAACTGATTTAAAATCACGGGGTCCCCTTTCCCGATTCTTATTTTACATATTTCAATAATATGGGAGCAGGGTAGCTAAATGAATAAGGCACTGTTTTTGTATGCTCAATATCCCAGGTTCGAGTTCGGCTATGGCAGGCAATTCGGTTACATCAGCTTGGATTGATTTCTGGAATGATATCCTCCTGGAGCATACCCTGGTTCTACAAAGTGGGTAATCTTAATTAAATAACTAATTAAGGGAGAAAATCTGGCGGTTAAGTATAATCTCGGTGCTTTCGCCTCTCTATACAATTCTTGAAACAGTAACGAACTACTGAATCCAAGACCCTTCAAGTGTCATAGTCATACAGATTTTTTTTCTTATTTCAATAATAAGTTATTAGAAAAATAATTAGAGTCAAAAGTATTTTATTTTGAGTGGAAAAATATTCGAGGAACTGCATAAGATATGCTGATGATTTGGAACTGTAAGGTGGCGATCTAAAAACTATTATATTGAATCCAATCACTTTGCTTGATGACCAGTAATGAAGTAAGTTTAGAGAGAAATATTGATATAGTAAAATATATATGCTACATTACGAGAAACGGTGAATACTTCTTGGAGACACGATGCCAATGCGAATGAAAAAGTAAAAGGTTCAAGTATCTGGGATCTTGAATGTGTTAAAGAAACGAAATTTACCAGGAAATAAAAACGAGGATGAAAGGGAAAGATGCTTTTAGTTTGACTGACGCAAAGTTACAGAGTTTGAGTATAATTTTCAGAAACATAAAACAGCGAGAATATTTCACTTCCTGCTATTCTTCACGTAGGCTAAACGTGGCTGCTTACGTTGCGGAATGAACATCTTAATGTTTTTAAAAGATTACATATTTCATAGAGTATTCAACCCATAGAAAGATTAGAAGAGGAAGTTGTGGAGTACACGACCGCTGAATACCAATGAAATAACAGAATCGCTAAAATGGCATGGATTGATTTCAATCCATGGGTGTATCAATGTTTTGTGCTAGATACGGAACAACCTACTTACCCTCTCTAAGAAATTTTAATCAACTACTGTATATATATTTATATACATAAAATTATCTATATATATGCGATAGGGATTGGTTCATACCTTTTATTAATCCCTGGGGTATTTTAAGGTAGGACAGGATGAGTGTGCTGAAGGCACTTATTACACTTACAACGTAGGAACAACCTACTTATTTTTTTATTTTATTTTTTTTAATATTTTTTTTTTTTGTTTAATTTGTTGATTTAGCCTCTACCCCTAAGGGTCATTGGCTCAATGTTTCCATTTTATATTCGTTGATAAAAGTGAATATTCTTTAAATATTTAAACAGTTTTTCTATTTCATTCTCTCCATCTTGCAGAATTTCTTTCGTTTCCGTTCCCATTTGAAATTTTTTCCTTATATTAGTGTACCTTCTACATTCTACTAATATATGTTTTACAGTTCTGGGTACTAGGCAATGTGTGCAAGTTGGAGCTTCTAATCCTCGCAGGAGGTATCCATGGGAAAACTCACAGTGCCCAATTCTTAGTCGACATAGTATCACTTCTTCACGTCTAGACTTTCGGTTTGATGTGTTCCATTTGATACATTTTGTTTTTATTTCCTGGAGTTTTGCCGAACTCATTTCCCATTCAACGTTCCATTTATTTTGAAAGGAGCATTGAAACTTATTTATTTATTTTTTTCCTATCCTCCAGGAATTTATTTGCTATACAAAATGCGATATATAAACGCATAATGAAATATATACACAAAAAAACAACCTACTTATTTATTTATTTTTTCTTACCCTCCAAAATGCTTATTGAAACAATTTACATATATAGTATACATAATAATACAATATATACATGTAACAAATTCCTTCCACTGCCCGAGGGCATTTTAAGGAAAAGAAAAAAACTTTTACAACCTACTTTTTTTTTTTTTTTTTTTTTTTCCTACCCCCCAAGAATTTCTTGAATAAATACAATATATATATAAATGTATATATACATAAATTTTCAAATTCCCTTTTATTGCCCAAGGGCATTTTAAGGTAAGAGGGCTATGCACGCTGTATGCGTTCTTTGCATCTGTGGCCAGAGGCCTTTTATTATACCACTGGGCGTGGAGGGACCGCCCTTACAACCTACTTAAGAATGTATTTATCAATTTACTATATGTGATGTAATTTATTCCATTGGGTATGTATTTTTTTAAAAAAAATAAAATAAAAATCTTGAAGCTGTAATTCTTAACGATCAACATTGATAAGAAAACT